TACTGACCACCCACCAACACCCTACTGATCACCCACCAACACCCTACTGACCACCTACCAACACCCTACTGACCACCCACCAACACCCTACTGACCACCTACCAACACCCTACTGACCACCTACCAACACCCTACTGACAACCTACCACCACCTTACTGACAATCTACCAACACCCTACTGACCACCTACAAACACCCTACTGACCACCTAACTGACCACCTACCAACACCCTATTGACCACCCACCCACACCCTACTAACCACCCAATAAAACCCTACTGATATTGGTTTTATCTTAAAAGGATGGAAATAACTACATTAGTCAACTCAGATACATACTTCTTACAAACAGTGACTTACATCTTTAGGGTAAGGTGTGACACCAATGCTTGGTGGTGCATCCTTGTGTCTCTTTGGGAGTCTTTGGAATAGTTCCTCAGTGATAAATGGCATGAAAGGACTCAAAAGAATAAGACCATTCTCCAAGCATGTGAAACTTAACAAAAGTCAAGGTCAATATAGCTGGTTTCATGTAGCCTGAGAAAACAGATGTGCTTACACCTGTTCCCCTGCAAAAGTAACGTCTGAACAATGAGACAGAAAATTTTAAGGTAAGCCAAGGTAACCCTAACCACAATGAATAGATTATTTGCACACATGTGGATTTCAAAGAAGGTGGTCGTAGAGCATAACTTATCTGTAGATTCATTGCAAGAAGTTGTTATAAACCTTTGTATTTAAAAAAATTTGAATTTACATACGATTAAAGATCTCATGAGTAAAAGCTCTCACTGACTTGACAGGGCTGTAGCCACCAGTACGGTTGGTCCAGTTTCAACCTGACCAACTTTCGGGAAAAAAATATAAGAAAAACTGAAAACCCTCGAAAACTGGACCAATCAGAAATTTGTGGCTACGGCTGGCCCTGCTTGATGACAAAGGCGAGAGAAAATCCAAGAACTTATTCATAAACCATTACATCTTCTGTACAGACTGAGTTGCTTAGCCTGAGAAAGGCTACAGAAAGTTCAAAGATGCAAACAAAAATCAAGAATCTTGGCCAAGTTCATTTTTGATACTTTCAAAGTCTTCTGAAAGACCTTTTCTTACCTAAACCAGAAAAGAAACATTTGGCATAGTAAAAGCATCATGTAATGGAGATTGAGTTTAAACTGACTTCAGGTAATCAGTTCTCTATCTCCCAAATCCAATCAGTATATGATACTACTGTTATAAAGCAATTTCATTTTGAGGACATTCATGGGCAAAAAGATCCCATAGTCAGATTTTTTAAAACTTTGAAGGATGACAGTACATCATACTAGAAGTAAAATAAGCAAATAAAAAACGGGGTCCCCGACTTCCTTTAGCCCTCAGAATGCACTTAAATTTACCCTCTTTATGGTAAAAACTCATGTACAATGTAAACATTAAAAGCTGTCAAAAATAAGTCATATTTTACTGAAAAAAAACTAATCCTTCCTGTTATCACAGAACTCTAGAACATAATCAATGATAAGTTTGTTTTTAAAATTTGTGCTAAAAATGTTGAAAATGTTAAAAATATAAAAGGTTATTTGGTTACAAGTATTTTATTAAGTACTTTTGAAAAATCAAATAAATGAGGGGGTGCCTGACTTGGTTTTAGAGCTATAAGAGATTAATGAAGTTTTTATTATATTTTGATCATCAAAACATCGGAATGATGTCATCACCACGCTCACTAAAGTCATGCGTAGAAAGGATGCCTACAAACAATGCCAATGAACGTTCTCAAACACAAAACACAGAGAATATTGTCATCTGAATAGTGATATCAATACTGCAACAAGCAGTATTCAAGTGCTAATTTATTCATTATTTCAACCAATCACGAATGCTACCTGGATCTGGGTAGCGCTTGTCATCAGTATGGGACTTTCCCTCTTATTACTTAGACGTTACTTTTGCAGGGGGACGGGGGAGCGAAAGTATGTCTGTCTTCTCAAGCATGAATAGGCAGTGTAGTAAAAGAAAGAATTAGCCGCATAGCAAGGATACAGAGTGTTGCAAGCAGTATGGACTGTCTTTGCATTGCCTTCTTGAAACACTGGCTTCAGAGATTCCTGGCAATTAAATAAATAAAAACACAATAATGAATTCTTTCTATTTAGGTGTCTAGTTATTCTAGTACTTTYGCACTAATAATTGGGGACACTTTTTCACTTGCCCACACTACCACTACATTATAGTGCTTGGGAATGAGGTTATTCCAGGTGAAAGACCCTTGGAATTAAATTCGGAAAAATTAATTTCTGACCTCGCTGGGAATCGAACCCATGACCTTCAGAATTGTACTACCGATGCTGCGGTAGTACAATTCCGAAGGTCGTGGGTTCGATTCCCAGCGAGATCGGAGCTTGTTTTCTCAATCTATTTTCAATAAATACATGATAATCCAATTGTTGTTTCAGAATATAGCTTATACTCATAAAATTCACACATTTCTCCATAGAGAGAAAAATAAACACGAAGTCACAAACCCAACTTACAAACTACTTTTCACTGGCAATATTCTACAATATAACAGTGGCCACATGCAGTCATAGCCCTTACCAAAATAAAGCATGCTTTAAGTATAGACTGCCTAGTTTTTTAAGTTGGGAGCAAACCAGGGAACAGAGAAAAACCATCATAGCATGGAAGAGAACAATACATCGAAAAAACTCAATTCATATGTGTTGTCCTCAGGGCTCAAAAAAGTGACCCCAACCTTTGGAACCACCGATGTGAGAGGCAAGGCATTAGCAGTGTACACCACATCACCCATGCTACTCCAATAAAAGTCATGCATAATTAGTTAAATAACATCACTTTAATACACCACTTTGCTAATACTCAGGTCATGCTACATGTAGATGATGGGATGGCCATTCACGGGGCAAACAAAACACAAGGGAAGAAGAAAACTACAGTGTTTTTGTTAATAAAATGTTGACTTCTTCGCAACTTATTGAGTATTTCTTTTACATCTTATACAACCGACTTAAGTATATAGCAACAATAAAATTTAAAATTGATTATTAAACCTAAGTTTTCCGTCTTCAAACGACCCATGACCAAGAGAATGATTGATGCTTAACTCTCTCATTTTAAGCTTATGGGCAAAAATAAATATGAGAGAAATGTTTAAAAGTTGATTTTATTTTTAAGCCTTCAACATTTTGTAAAATAATGATGTCTGAAATTGATCAAGGCACAAAAGAACGAAAACTGGATTGAAAAACTGCCTAAACCCTAATTATGCATGACTTTTATAATGGGCTAGCATGGGTGGTGTGGTGTATGCTGGTAATGCCTATGCCTCACTTTCTTCTTCTCTTGTGTTTTGTTTGCCAATCTCATCATTTAGCATGACCTGAGTATTAGCAAAGTGGTGTATTCAGTTTGCTAAGCACAAGAAAGCACTTACCAAGTAAATATCACATAACTCGTAAAGCCAGAAGTTGTAGATGGCAGAAGTAACCGTTGGAAAGTCGTAGTTGGAAAACCCTTCATTACAAGACTTTTCTGCAGATGACAAGCGACTGAGAATCCATCGATCCATTAAGCTCTCATTCCCTTGTAACTTGAAATGAAAATTTCAAAAATGAAATTGGTTGTGAAATCTTGAGAAAGCAAGAATTCAGTATCTCCTCATGACTATTAATATGACTTGTTGAGTGCTACCATTTAGACTCTGATTTAAACTCATTCTCTCTCTCTCTCTCTCTCTCGGCCAAACAAGGGGCCAGAACCCTCACAGGTAGCCCAATAATTAAATATAGTTATTGGTCTGAATTTGACATGACAATTGTACGAGCACAGCAAATCGTTATTTTACATCTTTTGACTGGGCGTGACTGATACAACATTTGTATTTGTGATAAATATGCTGACAAACATTTCAACAGGATACTTTTTTCTATCAAAAGGAAATTGATGTATCACTGTTTTCGATGTTATTTTTAAGGTGGTCCACGAAGATATGGTCCATGAAAGGTGGACAGGACCATGGACTGGTCCACGAAGGTGGTACATGGACCAGGGTTCCATACTTTGTATTCTCCTGAGGATTTTTGAACTTCGTGCAGGCTTACACAACACATGGAGCACAATATGTATGAAAATCTCCTTGAGATTATCTGTATGTAAAAATAAGTGGTTTGTACCTCTAACTTTTCACTTGGTTGAAACTCATTCCCAAGACTAGACAAGGCAAATTTGGTAGCATTCCAAAGCTTGTTACAAAAATGTCTGTAACCCTGCACACGTAGCACATCCAAATTGATATCTCTTCCTGGAAATAAAATCAATCAATTAAAACATCTAGTTTTTTATTATATAATTTTGAATACAAATGCTTAAAAGCATCTGGAATGACAAATTTTTTCCTGATTTTAGGATGGGAATAATATATTTTTGCTAATTTTTGTAGGTGTCTGTGACGTCATACACTCAACACTAAACATTGCTCCATGCATTTCTTTGTATTTTGTAATCAAAATATCTTCCAGTTTTATACTCAGTATTGAATAAAAGATGCCATAAAAAGATTCTAACCACAAGTGATGTATGTTAATTCCCTAAGCAGATCTTTGGGCTTAATAGAATTAAAGTAAAGCATGGAGTTATTTCAATAGAATTCAATACTTTCTTGTTATTAGACAAATAGAGTGTAGTCAACATTATTCACAATATCATTAAACAATATAACAAACCTTGAGAAGTATAGGCACATAGAGCAAACCTGAGAGCATCTGTACCACACTCTGGTATACCATCAGGGTAATCCTCTTTCTAAAGTAAGAATTCATCATAGATTTTGAATGGTAATGGGACATTACAGCATTGCTACTAAAATGGAAATAGAGAATGCGTGGAAAGCTTGAAATAAGGACTTTCAACTAGTTCTACTAACCTGGCCTTTCTTCGCACGTTCAATTTCCCTTGGATCTAAGTTACTGTTTTCCAGCAACTTATGTAGATTCTTTTCAAATCAAATAAGAAAAGAGCAAAGTTAAATTTCATTCTACAGTATAACAGAACTACTTGAGATATTATGTACTTATTGACTGAGTGGGAGGGCCGTACGGGAAAATATTTGGCTCGAGGTGATGCCGTGCGGACCAAGCGCAGCAAGGTCCATACAAATGACCGAGAGCCAAATATTTTCCCGTACGGCCTGACCCAACTCAGTCAATAAGCATTTTATCATATGACCCTCACGAAAAGAAAAATAATAAAGTAAAAGAAAGAAAGAAAGAAATAGTAAATATAAGCTAAAAAAGAGAAAGTGCACGGATTCGAGCAGGGACGTAAGGATTCGTACAGCCCTGCTCGCTCTAAGCCGTACAGCCCTGCTCACGCCATTTTCCCAAAGGCTTTTCTAAGAGCGCTCGCAGAGGCAGATATGGGTCATATGATAAAATACTGTATGACTTTGACTCCGGCTGTGTTGATAATGTATGGCAGAGAGGGGCAGTTGAAATTGAGGGGGAATCGGGAAAATTTTGGTAGGAAAAAGGGGGAT